ACCCGCTAAGTCCAATGATAAAGTGTAAGCATCCCCATGCTTTCGCCTCAAATGGCGACGCTCTTTTCCAGCAGCAGACACACAGATTTGACAATCACGTCTGAAGGGAATATGCCCCCTTAGGCAATGGTCACGGAAAGCTCGCTCCTCAGTCGTCAACCTCCGTAACGTCCCTTCTCGTTCTTCTTTTTGTAACACCGCAGCTTCCCGTTCAGCATCGCTCTCATGCAACCATTGTGCCAACCTGTGACGTATTCTTTTAACCAATCCAAACGCCCATCGCGCCCATATAGAGGATTGTCCCATACGCTCTTTCAGGGTAGAAGCGAATGTTGCTGACCACGGAACAACCACGCGAACTTGTTCTAACGATTCCCATAGTTCCATATCAGACACCAGGAAAGTCGTAGGTTTCACCAGAGCATGTCCCAACGCTCCTTGATCAAAGTGTGCAGCGTACATTCCATAACGCTCACAAAAGCTTTTCACCTCTGGCCAACTCCAGAAGGTAGGACTTGAGAGCCCTTCCTGAGAACCATCCACCAGATCCTCAGCACTCAAGACCGTTTTGCCGTTCTGAGAGAAATCTTTCCCTATGAGTTCAGGGTCCCCAGGGCTTTCCATGCCAAAGAAGACAGAACTTCCATTGATGACTTCAGCAGTTCCACACCTTGAATGCACCGCCACGTCATATAGGAAAAGCATCTTCAGAAGTAAAACACCATCCTTTTGAGCTAATTCTTGATGTGGCCAAGGAAGACTTTTTAACCCCAACCGTTCAGGCCCACAGCGTCGGCGTAATACAGGTGGACCACCGTCTTCACCTCTCAACCTTGACACTGTCCTGCATGGAGGTCCTCCCACCACAGCAACCACCTTTCCTTCAGCCGCCAGATGCAGAAGATACTTCCAGACGCTCGAATTATGTAGGTCACCGCCTTTTGTCAAATCCAGCTCCAGTACCTCCACATCCCGACTGGGAAAATGCCATTTTTGTTTTCCCGAAAATAGGTGTACCACCACCCTTTTTGCTCGTGCCAGCCGTCTCCTTTTATGACGGTTGAAAGGCAACGCTGCAATATCTCCACGTGGCAACAGCTCCATCAGCATATTTTCTGGTATATCCCCATAATACCACCGAAGAAATCTCCAGCATGCCTGGACGAACTCCTCCTCATTCGCTGACGCTGTCCGCGCTGCGCTTTGCAACGACGTTTTTACAGCCACCTCGTTGTCCGTATTCGGACACCCTTGAACCATACGTGCCACCTTCAAAGCTTGCTTTGGGGAGCACCAATCCATTTCATCAATGATCTGAAGCGCCACCTCCTTTTCCAAACAAGGGCACCCATTTAGATCACGAACGCGAAGTTCTCCCAGAACAGGATGTGAGGCTGTGCACTTGCCACCACGCCACTGAACTCTGAGACCAACCAAGGCGCTCGCTTTGCCAATTGGCACTAGTGGATCTACCATTTCAGGAGTTACCAGGGTCCCACCTGGGGTAATACACATCTCCCGAGATCCAACAGCTAAAGACACCAACACCTTTTGCTGCGGAAGCTGTTCTCCAGGACGAAGTGATCTGAGAGGATGTGATGCTCCCGAGTCCAACATGCCCATTCCCGAACACTCATTGGTGTCAGAAACCCTGGCCACATGTAGAACGCATACTCCTCGGCCTTCTCCCTGCTTCGGCAACAACGTGGCATCCGACGAACCGACTCCACAGTCCGCCCTTCCATTCCTCCATTGAGAATGGGACCAAGACGCACGCTGCCTTTCAGCATGCAAAACCATTTTTTCAGCTGTTTTGTAATCCATAACCAAACAGCCATGTTCAAACCACAAGAGCTGGTCCAGCGAAGATTTTGCACCCACGTGACACATCCCATTGATCACCGTGAGGTTCGCCCCAAACTCCAAAATCAACCAGAGAGGGATAATCAGGGGCCCATTGTCTTCCCTAATCAACGTCCCTTTCTCTGTAATCCTCATTGCCACACCACCAAGCGCGCTTTGCACCATAACAGTAGTGTCGGGTAAACATTCCCATGGAAAAAGCGTCCGCACAAGATGCGTAGCAGCCGTATCCACCAACGCCACTCTCCTTTCCTGCTGAAACAATCCAGATCCACATAACATTCGAACACTGGGATCCCCGCTTGATGCTGACTGCGCTGATGACAGCTTCATAGATTTCAGCACTTCCAACGCTTCAGCAAGGACTTGATTGGGTGTTGATGGTGATGAGGGACTTGCAGAACCTTTATCCAATCCCGCATTAGCTGTCTCATCTCCCCCTTCAGCTACCTCTGCCTTTTTGGCATTTCCCCATTTCGCACCTTTGCCGCCCTTTCCCCCTTTGGGAGAATTCCCTTTAGATCTACTCCTCTCAGGGTTTGAGTCCACATTGGAACTTGCACCATCCTTATATGGACATTGCGGCTGCAGATGGCCAACGGCCCCACACTCAAAACATCTTCCTCGCTCAAGGGAGTCTTTGTCATGGCGGAATTTACAGCGGGCTCCGAACTTGCAACCTGCATCGGTCTTCCCATATATCCAACAGAAAGGACGTTCACCATCTCCGCTGTACCTTTTTCCTTTCCCTTTGCCTTTGTCACCCTCCTCTGTCTCGTCACCAGTTCCCTTTTGGGCCTTATTTAACCTGGCCCTTTTCTTGGCGTCCGAGTCCTGCTTCACCTCTTGTTCACCAGCACTATGCAATAGCAGTTCAAACTCTGCCTGTAACATTTCAGCTAGTTGTGTTGCAGTTTCAGAGGGTGTTTTGCCAGCAACGCGGATGATAAAGCATCCAATCCCTTGATAAGCAAGGTAGCGTCCGGCTCGGATGCTCGCAGCTCCCTTAATCGGGAACGCCATTGCGCCCATTGTCGCACTCCCTTAATAGCCTCTGAAATTGAGGTTGCTGAAGATGGTTGCGCCAAGAAGTTCAACATTGTGCTGCGCTCATTTGCTCCACCTGGTTGGTAGACCGTCAGCAATTTGTAAAATATCATCACCGACCCCAACATTCGAGTGGAAACGATCTCGGTCTTCAATCTCTCCGGGATCGCCTGTAGCAGCAAAGACACCGCTCTCTGCTCCAACAAAACATGCACAGTTTGAACCACCTTGAGCCCTTCTAGCTCAGCCTTGATGCCCAACCTTTCCAGTGGAGAAACACTCAACCATTTGGCATACGCTTGATATGCCTTTGAGTAGACACATTGCCACCACACTCTTCCTGTATCTGTCAGCGAAGACAGCATTGGTTCGATCATTGCGATCCAATCACCCAGTGCCGTCGGATTGCTTGGTGTGTAGTCTGCCAAAGTTGGAAGGCTCATCACATGCTTCCCGAGAGCCTCCGGACGTTCGGTTCCAGAACTATCACCAGTGATTGGCATACCGCGTGGCACCACTGCTCCAGGAGGTAAACTGACCCTACCACCAGGCCCTTGAGGTAGTCCATGTCCTATACCGGGCGTAACAGCTGTGAGCGGAACCTTTTCTAATTCCAACTTCCCAGCGACCATTTTCCACCGATACGGAACATCATCCACCATTGTATATCCACCCGATCCTGCTGAGTTCTCTTGCATTGCAGTTTCCCGAGCTGAAACAAAACCGGGCTGGTTCCCCGCAGGTGCGACAGAACCATCAACACCTGATGGCATGGAAGTAATCGGAACATGTGTTAAACCAGGTGGTCCACTTGCATATCCACCACTTGCAGGACCTCCCGTGGGGTAATTCAATGGAGGCAATCTGGAGGGTTTCTTCCCTTCAGCTACATGCATCATTGGCACTTCTTTTTCATCCTCCACTTGAACATCCCCCTTCCTGGACCCAGGCAAGGATTGAAGATCACAACCCTTTGGCAGGTCGTAGCCCTCAATAGGCAGCCATGTCCCATCAGGCAACACAGTCCAAAAACCACCCATACCATCCGTGTAGAAAACTTGTCCTGGCAGGTACTGCTTCTCTGGAGTCATTCCTAGAGGATATGCCGTGTTTGCGTCCACCACTCCAGAGCTCCGTGCCCTTGAAGCTGACCCAGATGCAGCAGAGGTATAGCTTTTTTCCTCCACCCGATGCAACCTGTTCCCCAGCTCCTTTGTCTGCACAAGCAACTCTTTCAGCGCACGCTTCACCACCGCCATATCTTCAGATTGCTCTTCACCACTAACATCAGGAATGAGTTCTTCGTCGGCTTGCACTCCACCAATAGTACCTCGTTCCATTTGTCCCATTAAGCCTGACGATGGTCTCTCAACAGGTGCAGGTTCCTGACCCAAAAGATCTTGCAGCGAAGGCGGTCTTCTCGTACCTTCACCACTCCTGTCCCCTCCGCTCGCGGGAAGACTCGCCGGCCTTGACTGCCTAAGTCTCATTTCTTCTTGAGCCCGCTCGCTCCAGAAAGGATTTGCTGCTTGAACCGGAACCACTTCGTTTTCCACCTGAGGCGTTGGTTGTATCATTGCAACCTCCCTACCATCTGTCAGCGCTTGTACCATTTGTTGTCGATCTTCACCCCCATCACCACGATTTCCTTCGGCTTCATTGGCCGTTGGCGACAGTCCAGGCTCAGAGCGACGCCGCATCATGTCCATGGCGTTAAACAAACGAAAAATCTTTACCAATCCGCAGGAAGCCTAATTTGGGCTCATAACCTACGGGGGGCAACCGAAGGAGGACAGGGAACAAAACAGTCAACCCCAACAGAAGCCCTTAATACCCCTGGAACAACCAACAACCGAACAGCAAGACCCCAAACCAAGGGCACACTTTTTACGAAACCTTCGACCGCTTTGGTCATGGCTTGAGCCAACGATTATCGGGTTCATTGACCCTTTAACTTCCAATACCAACTCCTTTCTACAATACCAATTGCAGCTCCGCATAGGGTTTAGGGTTGACTTAAAGGGGAAAGGGAACAAATCAGGGAGTCTTCCCCCACGTTCCCGGGTCCACGCTTGAAGAGAGTTCTGGAGATGCACGAAATTGTGGGCTCGTTTGCCACCCTAAACTACCTAGCAGAGACACCCCCCAAGACAGGTTCGGCAAGGGGGGCAGACTTTGGGGGTTTACGAAAAACAACGGATCCCTAACATAGATCCCCTAGTAGTAGGATTCCTTTACAGTAAGGGCCCCAATAAGGTACCCTTAACTTCGGAAACCACCACATGGCGCCCCTAAACCCTAAACCCTAAACCCTAAACCCTAAACCCTAAACCCTAAACCCTAAACCCTAAACCCTCAACCCTGAACCCTAAACCCTGGACCCTCGACCCGAAACCCCTAAGCTTGCGATTGCGTGGCCCCGCTTCAAACTTGCAGGAAAGTACGGCATCCTTGATGGAGCTGATCCCAGAGTTCTTCGTCCTCCCAGCAGATTGGCAGGGCACCCCAGACTGTTCCTTTTAGGGTTTAGGGTCTAGGGTTTAGGGTTTGGGGTTTTTGGTTTAGGGTTAGGGTTTTTGGTTTAGGGTTTAGGGTCTAGGGTGTAAGGTCCTAATCACGCAATTAAAAAAGTAGTTATCCCCCCATTTTCTTAGCCCCTTCACAAGTTCAGTTCCATTTGGGTTGATGAGTACCATGAACCTCCAAGCAAGCCCCACGCCCTGAACCCTGAACCCTGAACCCTGAACCCTAAACCCTAAACCCTAAACCCTAAACCCTAAACCCTAAACCCTAAACCCTAAACCCTAAACCCTAAACCCTAAACCCAAAACCCGCAACCTAAACCCTAAACCCTAAACCCTAAACCCTAAACCTAAACCCTAAACCCTAGAACTAGGGCTTCAGGCTTTGAGATTGACCAGCCCTGTAAACCCTCAACCCCACACCCATCAACTAAAGCTTGCAGGTAAACCCTAAACCCTAAACCCTAAACCTAAAACCCTAAACCCTAAACCCTAAACCCTAAACCCTAAACCCTAAACCCTAAAAAACCCTAAACCCTAACCCTAAGCGCATTCATGGTTGCAGGCTGGAGAACTCCCTGAGCATCGTCACTCCCGAGTTCCCTTTGGGCGACGTGGGGCTCCCCCGCTGGGCCTCAGGTTGGGTTTTTAGGGTTTAGGGTTTCGGGTTTAGGGTTTTAGGGTAGGGTTTTTAGGGTTTTTAGGGTTTTTAGGGTATTTAGGGGTTTTAGGGTTTTTAGGGTTTTTAGGGTTTTTAGGGCTTTTAGGGTTTTTAGGCTTTTTAGGGTTTTTAGGGTTTTTTTTTTTTCTGTTTTTAGAGTTTTTAGTGTTTTTAGGGTTTTTAGAGGTTTTAGGGTTTTTAGTGTTTTTAGGGTGTTTAGGGTTTTTAGGGTTTTTAGGTTTTTTAGGGTCTTGGGGGGTTTAGGGGTTTAGGGGTTTAGGGGTTTAGGGGTTTGTGGTTTAGGGCAACTTTGAGTGCTTTTTGGGGGGCTTTGGCCTTCAGGGCACCCCCCTCCCACCCCTGCTCATGCCAAAAAGCGATCCCTATCAGGTGTCAGCGACTTCATCAGCAAGATGCGTGCTGCGCTTGAGAGCGAGCACGTTTCGCAGCACTTGCCTTCCTGGATCGACTTGATCTTTGGCTTCAAGCAATCGGGAGACAATGCGGTGAAGGCCGACAACCTGTTCCACCCTGTGTGCTACGTTGGGTCAAAGGGCTCGCCCGAAGAGGCTGTGGACGCGCTGTCTTTGCCCATGGAGGTGGGGGGGGTGGGTCTTCTCAAAAAACTCTGCTCCCGTTTGGGGTTCCTGCAGATGTCTGAATACGGGGATGTCAAAGCTTTTCGATTTAAACCCTAAACCCTAAACCCTAAGCCCTAAGCCCTAAACACTAAACCCTAAACCCTAAACCCTAAACCCATTGCCTAAACAGGGACCATATCTCCCAGAACCCAGGTGTTGGAGACGCAGCTGCAGGAGTTCGGGCGCATGCCGCGGCAGCTCTTCTTCGAGGCCCACCCGCCCAGGCTGCGGATGCCGAAGGTTTAGGGTTTTAGGGTTTAGGGTTCAGGGTTTAGGGTTTAGGGTTTAGAGTTTAGGGTTGAGGGTTTAGGGTTTAGGGCCCAGGCTGCGGACGCCCAAGTGGGCGCTGAGGAAGCTCCAGGACGAGGCCAGCCAGTCCGAGCCATGGTGCCTGGGTCACTGTGGAAAAAGTCATTTTACATTTTTTGGGGTTTAGGGTTTAGGGTTTAGGGGTTAAACCCAAGAAGTAACAAAAAAGAAAATTTCTCAAAGCGTGCTCCGAGAATGGTGCAGGTACAAGGCCGTGCGCAGCATTGCGCGCGAGAGCCTGGAGGGCACCTTGGAGCCGGACTTCGGCAAGGGTGGCTACGGGGCACCTGCCGCCGTCAACGGGGCGGGGAAGGCGAACCCTGCCCAACGGCCTGTCTCACAAGCTGGGATGCCTGCGAGCAGGGCCCAATTTCAGGGCGGGGACTTGTGGCGCTCTCGCGCAGGTAGCCTGGCCAGCTTAAGGTCTTTGACTGCTCAAGTGGTGGCGCCTTTCGCCGTGAGTGGAGGCATCACGGGCATGGCAAGCTGTTCCACGAACCTGTACGCAGTTGGAGAGGACGGGTGCCTACGTGTGAGCCCACTGCCAACCGGCACCGACGCCTCTGCACAGGTGTCCTCCCGGCGCAACTTTCGGATCTCGCCCATGCCCCTCTCTGCCATCGCTGCGCTCGACACAGAGCTACTGGCCTTGGGCGGTCACGACAACGCGGTCGTTCTGTACTCCACCTCCTGTGGCTCCTCCCTGTCTCGCAGCCAGATGCATGCGGACACAGTTACTCGGTAGGCCCTTGGGATATTTTATACTTTCCCGTTTTGGGTTTAAGAGGATCATATTTGGGATTTTATATTTTCCCTCGTTGGGCTTAAGAGGATCATAAGGAATATTTTTCAGAGGCTTCTACGGGCCAACCTAGGTTACTTGCCTGGGTGCAAGTCCCTGCCGCACGATGCTGGTGTCCGGGTCGAGGGACCAGTCGGTCGTGACCTGGACGTTGACGTCGGACACTTGGCAAAAATCTTGGGGCGATTGTTGGGTGGACCTCGGCACATCAGGAAGAAAGTGGGAGGTGTGACTTGCGAGCCTGGTTTCTACGATCCTGCGACGATAAGCCGGGTTCCATGGTGACGCTTCTTTGAAAAACCCGGAACCCGTAAACAACCGCAGGAATTGGGCAAATACACAACCTTAAACCCCAGCTTTCCCTACATTCTAAAACCTACACTCCCTCAACGCCCCACTTGGAGGTTCATTTGGGTGGGTGAAATGAACCTCCCAAGCAGCCCTAATCCCTAAACCCTAAACCCTAACCCTAAACCCTAAACCCCAAACCCTAAACCCTAAACCCTAAACCCTAAACGCTAAACCCTAAACCCTAAACCCAAAACCCAAAACCCAAAACCCAAAACCCTAAACCGTAAACCCTAAACCGTAAACCCTAAACCCTAAACCCTAAACCCCAAACCCAAAACCCAAAACCTAAAACCCTAAACCCTAAACCTCAAGCCCTAAACCCCAAACCCTACCCTAAGCCGAGGCCAGCCTCAAGAGCGAGACCATCTTCGACGACTTGCAGCAGCCGGTAGCCTGTGCGGCCTGCTCGGGGCCCCTGGTCCTGGGGGCTTCGGACCAGCAGCCGCCTGGCGCAGCCTTTGGGGGCGGCATTTTAGGGTTTAGGGTTTAGGGTGCGGAGCTGCAATTGGTATTGTAGAAAGGAGTTGGTATTGGAAGTTGAAGGGTCAATGAACCCGGTAATCTTTGGCTCAAGCCATGACCACAGCGGTCAAAGGTTTCGTAAAAAGTGTGCCCTTGGTTTGGGGTCTTGTTGTTCGGTTGTTGGTTGTTCCAGGGGTATTAAGGGCTTCTGTTGGGGCTGATTGTTTTGTTCCCTGTCCTCCTTCGGTTGCCCCCCGTAGGTTATGAGCCCAAATTAGGCTTCCTGCGGAATTGGTAAAGATTTTTCGTTTGTTTAACGCCATGGACATGATGCGGCGTCGCTCTGAGCCTGGACTGTCGCCAACGGCCAATGAAGCCGAAGGAAATCGTGGTGATGGGGGTGAAGATCGACAACAAATGGTACAAGCACTGACAGATGGTAGGGAGGTTGCAATGATACAACCAACGCCTCAGGTGGAAAACGAAGTGGTTCCGGTTCAAGCAGCAAATCCTTTCTGGAGCGAGCGGGCTCAAGAAGAAATGAGACTTAGGCAATCAAGGCCGGCAAGTCTTCCCGCGAGCGGAGGGGATAGGAGTGGTGAAGGTACGAGGAGACCGCCTTCGCTGCAAGATCTTTTGGGTCAGGAACCTGCACCTGTTGAGAGACCATCGTCAGGCTTAATGGGACAAATGGAACGAGGTACTATTGGTGGAGTGCAAGCCGATGAAGAACTCATTCCTGATGTTAGTGGTGAAGAGCAAACTGAAGATATGGCGGTGGTGAAGCGTGCGCTGAAAGAGTTGCTTGTGCAGACAAAGGAGCTGGGGAACAGGTTGCATCGGGTGGAGGAAAAAAGCTATACCTCTGCTGCATCTGGGTCAGCTTCAAGGGCACGGAGCTCTGGAGTGGTGGACGCAAACACGGCATATCCTCTAGGAATGACTCCAGAGAAGCAGTACCTGCCAGGACAAGTTTTCTACACGGATGGTATGGGTGGTTTTTGGACTGTGTTGCCTGATGGGACATGGCTGCCTATTGAGGGCTACGACCTGCCAAAGGGTTGTGATCTTCAATCCTTGCCTGGGTCCAGGAAGGGGGATGTTCAAGTGGAGGATGAAAAAGAAGTGCCAATGATGCATGTAGCTGAAGGGAAGAAACCCTCCAGATTGCCTCCATTGAATTACCCCACGGGAGGTCCTGCAAGTGGTGGATATGCAAGTGGACCACCTGGTTTAACACATGTTCCGATTACTTCCGTGCCATCAGGGGTTGATGGTTCTGTCGCACCTGCGGGGAACCAGCCCGGTTTTGTTTCAGCTCGGGAAACTGCAACGCAAGAGAACTCAGCAGGATCGGGTGGATATACAATGGTGGATGATGTTCCGTATCGGTGGAAAATGGTCGCTGGGAAGTTGGAATTAGAAAAGGTTCCGCTCACAGCTGTTACGCCCGGTATAGGACATGGACTACCTCAAGGGCCTGGTGGAAGGGTCAGCTTACCTCCTGGAGCAGTGGTGCCACGCGGTATGCCAATCACTGGTGATAGTTCTGGAACCGAACGTCCGGAGGCTCTCGGGAAGCATGTGATGAGCCTTCCAACTTTGGCAGACTACACACCAAGCAATCCGACGGCACTGGGTGATTGGATCGCAATGATCGAACCAATGTTGTCTTCGCTGACAGATACAGGAAGAGTGTGGTGGCAATGCGTCTACTCAAAGGCATATCAAGCGTATGCCAAATGGTTGAGTGTTTCTCCACTGGAAAGGTTGGGCATCAAGACTGAGCTGGAAGGGCTCAAAGTGGTTCAAACTGCGCATGTTTTGTTGGAGCAGAGAGCAGTGTCTTTGCTGCTACAGGCGATCCCGGAGAGATTGAAGACCGAGATCGTTTCCACTCGAATGTTGGGGTCGGTGATGATATTTTACAAATTGCTGACGGTCTACCAACCAGGTGGAGCAAATGAGCGCAGCACAATGTTGAACTTCTTGGTGCAACCATCTTCAGCAACCTCGATCTCAGAGGCTATTAAGGGAGTGCGACAATGGGCGCAATGGCGTTCCCGATTAAGGGAGCTGCGAGCATCCGAGCCGGACGCTACCTTGCTTATCAAGGGATTGGATGCTTTATCATCCGCGTTGCTGGCAAAACACCCTACGGTGCATTTCAGAGTGGCATCCTTTCGGGAGAAATTGGGGGTGGACTACTCGCCGACCTCTGAAACTGCGACACAACTAGCTGAAATGTTACAGGCAGAGTTTGAACTGCTATTGCATAGTGCTGGTGAACAAGAGGTGAAGCAGGACTCGGACGCCAAGAAAAGGGCCAGGTTAAACAAGGCCCAAAAGGGAACTGGTGACGAGACAGAGGAGGGTGACAAAGGCAAAGGGAAAGGAAAAAGGTACAGCGGAGATGGTGAACGTCCTTTCTGTTGGATATATGGGAAGACCGATGCAGGTTGCAAGTTCGGATCCCGCTGCAAATTTCGCCATGACAAAGACTCCCTTGAGCGAGGAAGATGTTTTGAGTGTGGGGCCGTTGGCCATCTGCAGCCGCAATGTCCATATAAGGATGGTGCAAGTTCCAATGTGGACTCAAACCCTGAGAGAAGTAGATCTAAAGGGAATTCTCCCAAAGGGGGAAAGGGCGGCAAAGGTGCGAAATGGGGAAATGCCAAAAAGGCAGAGGTAGCTGAAGGGGGAGATGAGACGGCTAATGCGGGATTGGATAAAGGTTCTGCAAGTCCCTCATCACCATCAACACCCAATCAAGTCCTTGCTGAAGCGTTGGAAGTGCTGAAATCTATGAAGCTGTCATCAGCGCAGTCAGCATCGAGCGGGGATCCCAGTGTTCGAATGTTATGTGGATCTGGATTGTTTCAGCAGGAAGGGAGAGTGGCGTTGGTGGATACAGCTGCTACGCATCTTGTGCGGACGCTTTTTCCATGGGAATGTTTACCCGACACTACTGTTATGGTGCAAAGCGCGCTTGGTGGTGTGGCAATGAGGATTACAGAGAAAGGGACGTTGATTAGGGAAGACAATGGGCCCCTGATTATCCCTCTCTGGTTGATTTTGGAGTTTGGGGCGAACCTCGCTGTGATCAATGGGATGTGTCACGTGGGTGCAAAATCTTCGCTGGACCAGCTCTTGTGGTTTGAACATGGCTGTTTGGTTATGGATTACAAAACAGCTGAAAAAATGGTTTTGCATGCTGAAAGGCAGCGTGCGTCTTGGTCCCATTCTCAATGGAGGAATGGAAGGGCGGACTGTGGAGTCGGTTCGTCGGATGCCACGTTGTTGCCGAAGCAGGGAGAAGGCCGAGGAGTATGCGTTCTACATGTGGCCAGGGTTTCTGACACCAATGAGTGTTCGGGAATGGGCATGTTGGACTCGGGAGCATCACATCCTCTCAGATCACTTCGTCCTGGAGAACAGCTTCCGCAGCAAAAGGTGTTGGTGTCTTTAGCTGTTGGATCTCGGGAGATGTGTATTACCCCAGGTGGGACCCTGGTAACTCCTGAAATGGTAGATCCACTAGTGCCAATTGGCAAAGCGAGCGCCTTGGTTGGTCTCAGAGTTCAGTGGCGTGGTGGCAAGTGCACAGCCTCACATCCTGTTCTGGGGGAACTTCGCGTTCGTGATCTGAATGGGTGCCCTTGTTTGGAAAAGGAGGTGGCGCTTCAGATCATTGATGAAATGGATTGGTGCTCACCAAAGCAAGCTTTGAAGGTGGCACGTATGGTTCAAGGGTGTCCGAATACGGACAACGAGGTGGCTGTAAAAACGTCGTTGCAAAGCGCAGCGCGGACAGCGTCAGCGAATGAGGAGGAGTTCGTCCAGGCATGCTGGAGATTTCTTCGGTGGTATTATGGGGATATACCAGAAAATATGCTGATGGAGCTGTTGCCACGTGGAGATATTGCGGCGTTGCCTTTCAACCGTCATAAAAGGAGACGGCTGGCACGAGCAAAAAGGGTGGTGGTACACCTATTTTCGGGGAAACAAAAATGGCATTTTCCCAGTCGGGATGTGGAGGTACTGGAGCTGGATTTGACAAAAGGCGGTGACCTACATAATTCGAGCGTCTGGAAGTATCTTCTGCATCTGGCGGCTGAAGGAAAGGTGGTTGCTGTGGTGGGAGGACCTCCATGCAGGACAGTGTCAAGGTTGAGAGGTGAAGACGGTGGTCCACCTGTATTACGCCGACGCTGTGGGCCTGAACGGTTGGGGTTAAAAAGTCTTCCTTGGCCACATCAAGAATTAGCTCAAAAGGATGGTGTTTTACTTCTGAAGATGCTTTTCCTATATGACGTGGCGGTGCATTCAAGGTGTGGAACTGCTGAAGTCATCAATGGGAGTTCTGTCTTCTTTGGCATGGAAAGCCCTGGGGACCCTGAACTCATAGGGAAAGATTTCTCTCAGAACGGCAAAACGGTCTTGAGTGCTGAGGATCTGGTGGATGGTTCTCAGGAAGGGCTCTCAAGTCCTACCTTCTGGAGTTGGCCAGAGGTGAAAAGCTTTTGTGGGCGTTATGGAATGTACGCTGCACACTTTGATCAAGGAGCATTGGGACATGCTCTGGTGAAACCTACGACTTTCCTGGTGTCTGATATGGAACTATGGGAATCGTTGGAACAGGTTCGCGTGGTTGTTCCGTGGTCAGCAACATTCGCTTCTACCCTGGAAGAGCGTATTGGACAATCCTCCGTATGGGCGCGATGGGCGTTTGGATTGGTAAAAAGAATACATCACAGGTTGGCACAATGGTTGCAGGAGAGCGATGCTGAACGGGAAACTGCGGTGTCAAAAAAGGAGGAACGAGAGGGAACGTTACGGAGGTTAACAGCTGAGGAGCGAGCTTTCCGTGACCATTGCCTAAGGGGGCATATCCCCTTCAGACGTGATTGTCAAATCTGTGTGTCTGCTGCTGGAAAAGAGCGTCGCCATTTGAGGCGAAAGCATGGGGATGCTTACAC